TTTTAATAAAGTTTTTCTCTCCGGCTTAAAAGTCAGCACATGAATTAATTCTGAAAAGCAGTGTACAGGGTGTTAATAATCTATTCTACTGTAGCATGCAAATATCTTTAAATCTCTCAGAAACTAAATAATTTAAACGTATTTAACCCTTATAATAAATACCTTTTTTTGGGCCCAAGAATCCAAAAATGAAATAAAATACCGGATGTTCCATAAGAAAAAATATGACTTTGGTATGGATCTTCGTTCTGAAACCCTGTATATTTTTTCCTCTTTTCAGCTTTTTAGATTTTCTTTTTTTCTGCTAATATACATTAAGAGAAAATCCCCATTCCGCCATTTTCGATATTTTATTTTCATTCGTTTTGTTTCAGCTCGGAGATTATTAGCCATTGCCTTTGCTCCTGCTCCGTAATAGCCAATTTCCCGTGGAAAACCGAGCAAATAAATCGATTTTCTTTAGATATTTTCGCTATTTTTAAAGACATATTTTATTCGTTCTGGGCCTATAAAAGTCAAATCCTCCGATAAAATACACTTAACTTTTAAGCCGATTGGAGATGCCGAGAACGAGTCTCCTTCTCCGAGAGGAAATATAAATCTCCGATACAAGTTTTATGTCCTTTTCTCGATTTGCCGGACTCCTTTATGAAGCGATAAGTGGTTTCGAGGATTAAGCTACCTTATGGTAAGTTTCCTTATAAAAATGTAAAAATGCGGGTAGAAAATCTCCGTTTTAATAGCTCGTAACAGAGTTGAGCTAAAAGGCGAATAATTAATTAATTATTCAAGAGTTCGATATTCACTGGGATTAAACAGCAGAACTTATTGCCAGGACTTTTTTTAAAAAATTAAAAATATTAACTCTTCCTTCCTTATGTATATTGGAATCCGTTTGCTTAATAGGTAAGCATGTACCAGCTTCTCAAGAAAGGCCATCTCACACTTATCCACTCAGGAACGCGGAGCAAGATCTTTATCTACCTACCCCACGCTCAGAGTTAGTTAAAAGTTCAATATTATACAACTCGAAAAATGCACAATATTGTAAACATTTATAAATGATTATTTTAAACAATAAGTCTGACAATGTAATTTTTATACTTGTTTTGTATTCCCTTTTGTTTGTTTTAATTTACCTTTCCTCTATGTAAATGTTAATTTTTAACTCTCCATCTAATAAAAAGAATAATATCCAGGGTGTTCCATTTGAAATATAAATCTCCGATACAAGTTTTATGTCCTTTTCTCGATTTGCCGGACTCCTTTATGAAGCGGTAAGTGGTTTAGAGGATTGCTACCTTATGGTAAGTTTCCTTATAAAATGTAAAAATGCGGGTAGTAAATCCCTCGTTTTAATAGCTCGTAACAGAGTTAGCTAAAAGGCGAATAATTAATTAATTATTCAAGAGTTCGATATTCACTGGGGATTAAACAGCAGAACTTATTGCCAGGACTTTTTTAAAAATTAAAAATATTAACTCTTCCTTCCTTATGTATATTGGAATCCGTTTGCTTAATAGGTAAGCATGTACCAGCTTCTCAAGAAAGGCCATCTCACACTTATCCACTCAGGAACGCGGAGCAAGATCTTTATCTACCTACCCCACGCTCAGAGTTAGTTAAAAGTTCAATATTATACAACTCGAAAAAATGCACAATCACCTGCCATATTGTAAACATTTATAAATGTTTATTTTAAACAATAAGTCTGGCAGTGTAATTTTTATACTTGTTTTGTATTCTCTTTTGTTTGTTTTAATTTACCTTTGTCTATGTAAATGTTAATTTTTTAACTCTGCATCTAATAAAAAAATAATATCCAGGGTGTTCCATTTAAAAAAAAAACAAGAAAAAATATTTTATATTTTAGAAAGTTTGACGTAGAATTTTGAATACCCTGTATGATCTGTATGATTTAAGATTACTATTAGCGATGGGAACTATCGAATGAATTAGACTATCGAATGGTTACTGAATGAATGATTTCAACTATCGAATGGTTTTATTCGAATAAAATCATTCATTCATTTGTATACTAAAGCATAAGTGACAACCACGAGCCACGACTATCGAATGCTTTTGGTAAATGAAATTTAGTATTCGTTTGATTTTTGTGTGCGTCAGTGGCATTATTAGTTCTTCCAAATTTTTATAACTTCGCCTTGTAAATACTATGCTATTTTTGCGTTTATTAAAATATTTAAAATACTAAAATAGTAGGTTTTTTTTAATTGACGATTGTGTGCGAAGTGGTCAAAATTTTTCCGAAAATTTGTGTGTTTTTCCGTAGCCCGATCTTTCAATTATTTAATTTTATATGGTATATTATGGTTAGGTTAGATTGCATTTTTTTAATGGGAAATTTTGAGAAGTAACAATTTTAAGAGAGATAAGATGAACTTACAATTAATTTTAAAAAATACATATTTGTATTTTGATGTTTTAATAATATGAATTAGTTGAACTTAATAATCATATTTAAGTAATGTGGTTAAGTAAATGGGGGTTATTGAACTCAAATTTTGGGTGAGAAAATTAAATTGAAAGTTTTACACGTGCCAATTTAAAAAAAAAGTTAACAATGTTTGTATTTTGTTTATGCTAATTCTCTTACATGTAGTTTTTGCAGAAGAAATATTTCATTTATTTTTAAAAGTAAATGCCAGTAAAAGTAAATATTATTTTTAAATAGTAATATAAAGTAATAAAAAGTAATATAAATAATTTTGATTTCTAATTTTTTATTTATATTTTCCTTCCATTACACTGCATGCTTAGAAAATTAAAAATAAAGTTTATATTTCATGATTTTAAAATTTGTTGTTAATATAACAAATTAGTTCTAAACTATTATTATTTAATAAACCAACGTTGCCATTTAGAGACTATATTATTTTTAAATAGGATCTAATAAATACTTTTGACTTCTATTTGTTGTTTATATTTTGCTACTACTTAAAAAAATGTTTATATTATTAAATGATTTTAAATTTTGTTGTTAATAGGTATAACAAATTATTACTGTTATTATTATTTATTAAACCAGTCTTTGCTTAAAAACATTAAAAATCATTTTCCTACATCCAAAATAAAAAGTATTATTGCAGTGTAATAAAGGAATATTAATAAAAAAAATGCAAAACATTAGACATACTATCCCTAACTAACTAATGCTAAAGAATAATATTCTTTGCTAATACCAACTAATACGAATATATGGCAACAGCGCACTTCATAATGTATTTTCTGTGTAAATACTAGCACCTCAATAAAAAAAATAATGTCCTTATATTTATTTGACTACGCAAAAAATCAAAGATGCCGGCTTCTTTCATAGCATTGCCACCGACCGCTGTCGGGTTTCTAGGAAAGAAACCTACGTCGCCGGACGACAACTAAAATCCAGTTTATATTTCATTAAAATCGATCCTGACGAATAAATGAGTTTGATAAATGAATGAATTTTATAAATGAATGGTTTTTGCTGCCGAATTACTAGAATACAATATTTCAAGGCAGATGACGCATCTATTCGATAATTTTTATTCGAATAGTTTTCGACGAATGTTTTCTTACTAGCTATCGAATTATTCGAATGAATTGCAACTATCGAATGTTTCGATAGTATTCATTCGATAGTTCCCACTACTAATTACTATATTTATAGCAAAGTAAGTATAGACCACTATAGTAAGTATAGTTTTGACTTCAGGACAGCAGATCATGTATTTATAATAATTTTTTAAGGAAAGTTCTAAGATTATGTAAAGTGATCTGAAACGAAGTCAAAAATGCAATAATATACAGGGTGTTTCATTTTAAAAAAAATCATCCCGATCCCCTCACACTTTTTTGAGCCACTCTAAGAAGTTAAAATATTTTCCTGAAATACATCCTACAATACTTTAGGTTTACACTTAAACAAAATTCTCAAGTTTTTTATTACTACAGATGTCCGACGCACTTTTGCCGGACCCTGTATATAAAAAGGTTTTACTTTCAACACTGGTCGCGCGTTGCTTACCATGATAGCATCATCAGCAGTCATAGCATCATCGTCAGCATTAGGATTATTCTCTAATTTTATTTTTTAAACGAAGGCCTTAAAATTGTACTTTTCTTCTTTAACAAAGTTCCGTGTAAAAATAAGTAAAAAAGTTTCTGTAAAAAGTTAAAAGTACGTTTTCTATTTAATCTTCAGACGAATTACAAGGAAAAGCGAGAAAAATTATTCACAGTTCATTCGGTTTCCTCTCTTTAAATATACAAAAGCGAGAATAAAAGTCATATTGACATTTTTGCCAAGAATAATGGAAACATTTTTTGAAAAAAAAAACAAACAAAGCATTGAATTTAAAATCAAAAATTTCTGTTAAGGCTAATAGGTTTTCTTGAATTTGCTCAACGTAGTTAACGCTAAATAAAGATGCATAAAACGAAAAAAAAAAATTAACCAGTATTTACAGTGTGTCATGGAAATGGTGTAAAAAAAATCGGGGGTTATTTTTTTTTGCAACGTGGGTTCATTTTTTGGAAACTAGATACTTTTTCCTACAAAAAGGTACTCTTGTTGCATATTGCCCAGAGCGATGGTTTTCGAGAAAATTGAAGGCAAAGAGTTTGCTCTGATGGGTTGCTAACAGCTTAATGAACATAAACTTATGAAAGTTATGGCGGTTCAAAAGTAGCCAAGTAGTTATTAAATAATTAATTGGAAAATCAAAATTTCATGATTTTTAAAACATAAAATATTTTTAAACATCCTGTATATTTTAATCAAAACGTTTTATGACATTTGACACACATAAATAAAATAACAATCCACCCTTTATTTTTACCGAGGAATCAGCCCTTACATTTTTTCTATTTCTTTTGAAACACACTGTATATTTATGTGATGTGTTTAGCCTGAAGTTGTTCAGTTATTCTGATTTGTTTGGCATTTTTGCAATAAACGATTTGCTACAAAGCAAGCATTAAATAACTACGGGTCTTACCAGGCGACAAAAACGATGCAAACTTGGGGTCGATACCTAAAATATAGAAAGAAATAATACTGTTAATAAATATGTCAATGAATATAATTGCTGTTTCAGAAATGTATGTATTTTATAAAATTATATCAAAGGTTTGTTCTATAATAATAGGAAAAATATATATGTCGTTTCAAACATTTGAACAATTTTTTTAGTAATTTGTTATACAGCATGTAATAAAACTAAACCCTAAGTCACCACAATACACGAAAACACTTTTACTTTTACACTGGACGCGCGTTTCGCTAATACTCGATTAAAAATAATGTTTATTTATAAATATAATAGAATGGGCATTGAGGAAGATGCATATATTTTATTTTTCGCCAGAAACTGTTCAATTTATTAGAATAAATATGTATAAATTCAAAAAAAAACTTTTTTCTTGAAAGCAGTACCACAATTTTATAAAATGGGCCATTAAAATACAAATGGATAACGCAAACGACGCCTCGCGAATTGAAACGATATTCTATTGGTCTGACGTCACCCGCCGTTCTCGTCGACGCGCGATGGCCACCAGCAGCCAGACGTGTTCCGTTTATGTACGTATTTAGGTGGCGTACTAAGACATTTTTGTTGCTTTTAGCGTTGATTGAAGGAGTTTGTTATGCTTTTTTGTGCAGTTAGTATTTGTATGTGTTGTGTGTTCTGAGAATTTTTTAAGTAATGGCAGATTCCGGGTTTGTAAAAGCACAATCAGATAACATGCTAAAAGTCGATGCTTTTATGTTGGCTGCTTTTATAAATACAAATTCCCAATTTATTGGTGCTGAATTACGAGGAAAAAAACAGAGAGGTATGTAACATTTATTCTTTGTAGTACTGAGGCATATTGAAGTATAAGTAGGTACCTACTGTTACGAACTTTTATATAGTTATAAATTAATGTTATAAACTTATTTTTCAGATCAGGTAGGGAGACGTATGGAGATAATGCTGTAGGTTATGTAGAAGTGAAAAGAGACAATTAGCATCATCAGCAGATGATTAAAACTAAACTATATTCTACAATTTGAGCGTTTATTAACTCGCTCAGTGGGCACCGAGTGGGCGTGGCAAGATCTAGCCAACTAAGTCAGAGCCCACCGGGCGTAACAGTTAGATTTCCGCCACTAGAGTAGTAGGAACAAAGAACTTGAATGAATTGGACCGTTGTCTCTGTTCATACTATCTTTACATTTATTAATTCTGATGCTTTCATATGCATCTAATTGCCTGTAATTTGAGACTTGTTTAATTAATTTTAAATTATTAAGATCTATATAATGTTCTTTATCAACAATATGTTCGGCAACGCAAGACTTATCTGGTCTCTCTCTTCTCTTCTCAGCCATTACTCATCCACTGCAGAATGTAGGCCTCTCTCAGTTTCTTCCACTCGTTTCGATTCTGTGCTCTCCTCATCCAGTTCTTACCGGCTACGGTTTGGATATCATCAGTCCATCTTTTAGGAGGTCGGCCGACTGGGCGTTTTGCTAGGCGTGGCCTCCAGCAAAGAAGTGTTTTTGCCCATCTTTCCTCGGACTGTCTGGCCAAGTGTCCTGCCTAAGACCATTTAGAGTTAGCTATCCTCTCTACGATGTCCGTTATCCTCGTCTGTGGGCGAATATCTTCATTTCTAATGTGGTCGCGAAGACTGATACCCATCATGGCTCTTTCCATAGCTCTTTGGCTCACTCACAACCTGTTCACACTTCGTGCCGTCATCGTCATAGTCTCCAAACCATAGGTCATGACAGGCAAGACGCATTTGTTGTAAACGTCTCTTTTTAGGCTATTTGGGATTTTGCTTTTGAATATAAAATTAAATTTACCAAAAGCTGCCCATCCGAGTTTGATCCTTCTAGAAATTTAGGTTGTTTGATTTTCCTTGCCGAGTTTTATGGCATGACCTAGATATATATACTCTTTAACGTTCTCAATCCTTTGTCCATTAACATTAACTTGCTCTTCATTTTCATTTAGGGTTTTAGTTTTAGACAAATTCATTTTTAAACCTACTTGCGCAGATGTGTGGTGAAGTTGTTTGAGCATTGTTTGAAGTTCTTCCAACGATGAGGCCAGGACAACGACATCATCAGCGAAGCGCAAGTGGTTAAGCATCCCACCATCTACCTTAATACCCTTATTGTCCCAGTTCAGCTTCTTAAATACGTCCTCCAGGGCCAGTGTAAAAAGTTTGGGGGAAATAGTATCTTCCTGTCGGACTCCTCTTTCCATTTTAATTTTATTTGTGATATTTATGCCATCCAGTTTGATAGTCATTGTAGCTGATTTGTAAATAGATGATATTATGCCCGAGTATCTGTAGTCTATCCGGCATTTTGTAGGGCATCGAGGATGGCGTGAAGCTCTATAGAGTCGAAAGCCTTCTCATAATCCACAAAGGCGACTGGTATTATCTGGTCTACCATATCTTATCTGAGCTAAATGTTCTTTAAATCTAGTTAATATTGATCTTCTAGTTTGCCCAACATATTTCTGATTACAATCTTTACAAGAAATTTCATAAATACCCGACCTTTCCAGTGGAGGTGTTTTATCCTTTAGATTACCTAATAATTGTTGTAATTTATTATTAGCACTATACACGAGTATATAATTGACATTCTTAAAAATTCCTTTTAGACCACGGGATAACTCTCTATCAAACGGTATTGAAAAATATTTTGACGTATCTTTCTCCATTTGAAAAGTCGAATTTTCGGAAATCATTAACCTATACCTACGTTTTCTAATTTTTTTATCAACTAGTGAAGGAGAATATCATCAGCTACATTCCTAATGTAATCTCTTTCTATTTCATATCTTTCGTTGGTAAGTGGAAAATTAAGTAATCTATGAACTAAGAAATTTAAATTAGCCATTTTATGTTCAACACTATGATATGATTCATTAGGAATATATCTGCGTGTAGTGGCATTTTTCCTATAGATATCAAATTCCAGGCAATTATTAGTATTTCTAATAACTAATACATCTCGAAATGGTAATCTGTCGTTGTTCTCAATGATAAAGGACATTGTATAGGTCTTAATAATTTAAAATTAATTAAACAAGTCTCAAATTACAGGCAATTAGATGCATATGAAAGCATCAGAATTAATAGATGTAAAGATAGTATGAACAGAGACAACGGTCCAATTCCTTCCAACTGTTACGCTCGGTGGGCTCTGACTGGGTTGGCTAGATCTTGCCACGCCCACTCGGTTCCCACTGAGCGTGTATATAAACGCTCAAATTGTAGATTATAGTTTAATTTTAATCATCTGCTGATGATGCTAACATGGTTAGCGAAACGCGCGTCCAGTGTAAAAGTAAAAGTGTTTTGGTGTATCGTGGTGATTTAGTGTTTTATTTTGCTGTGTAACACCAAAAGTTCCAACCCCCAACTGTAATCAGCATGTAATACTAAATTATTATAATTACTTTTTTCTGGTTTAAACGAAGATTGACAAAAACTTCCACAGCCGATTTTGTGTTTATGGCAAGTCGTTTCAGGAATTTCATTAGGGAATTTTTGAAGGAGTTAGTTTAATAAATTTCCCAAATTCAATTAAAAAGTTTAGAATTGGCAAAAAACGAGAGATCAAAGCCATAACTCGGCGCAAAGAATTTGTACGAAATCGACAAAACAACGGGAACTCATTAAAACTTTCAAATATGTTTCGCTTTGAAATTAGAAACGGTTTGGTTGTGATTATAACAACGTTCGGGGCTTTTCGGAAAGTAAATGTTATCGAGTGTGAAATTTAATTTTATTAAGTGGAATATTTACTTATTTTTATACATATACTAGCGTGTACCCGCGACTTCGTTCGCGTCGAATTAATCATTTGTAATGGCGATGATAAAACAAAGCAGGAATTTCCATTAACATACAAACTGGAAAAAAAATTCTCACATTTATGTCAGCATGAGAAAAAAACAATATGGCGATATTATTATATAACTTGGTAATATTTGAGGGCTAGTTTCATCTCGTTGGAATTTGACTTTCGAAAAATCGGTTTGCCAAAAATAAGCTTTCTACGTCAAGCAGTTTAAGCAGAATCGTCGTTAATTAATTACCTAACTTTTTGGAACACCCTGTATGATTTTTTAAAAAATTTCAAAATATGTAAAAATCAAAATAAATTATGCATGTCCAAGTGTTTTCCCGAAAGACTAACCGTTTTTTAAATAACTAATATTGTAATATTTGAGGGGCGTTTTCACCCTCTTGAAATTTGAGATTCGAGAAACCCCTCCTTATCGGACCTCTACACCCCACAGTCAATCCGTTTGCCAAAAATCAGCTTTAAACGTCAAGCAGTTTAAGCAGAATCGTGATTACTCAATAGTCATATTTTATGAAACACCCTGTATAAATTTTTAAAAAAACACCTGGTATGGAATTTATTTAATAGTAACACCGACTAAAAATAATACAAATATCTCTTACATGCTAATTTCTAAAATTCTGCATATATGTTAAAAAGTTATAAATGTTTTTTTTTGTATAATTAAAAGAGCTCTATATACTCTAATCATTCTAATTAATAGAGACATTAAGCCGGCTCCTGAATAAATAGTTTCCTCCACTCTCTATGTGGAAAAGGCGCTCCATTAGTAGAAATTTCCACGATTTCCTCGGAGAATAGAGAGAGAAATAGAGAGAAATTAAAAGCAGCGCCAAAACCTAATGGAGAAAAACATATATGGCGGGAACTGCTCTGTTTCGTTTATATGTATAAGAACATGGAAACCATACAGAGCCCTAGTGTTTTGCTCTTAGAGGGCAATAAAGAAAAAAATAATCATGTCGTTTTGGCCTTTGCAGGAAAACAACATCAAGATGTAATAAAAACGGTATAAAAATAAGATTTTTTCTAGAAGATGGGTTGGTAAGAGTTTCTTTTTTTATAGTTTGTTATTAAATATTATTTTCCAATTTATATTACTAATTACTAATAATACAAATTTCACATTCCCATTACAACTTTTCCTGATAT